GCCCAAGAGACAGAAAGGGCCACATAAACCAGAGACTTCATCAGCCTGAGACCAGAAGAACTAGATGGTGCCCGGCTACCATCAATGACCGCCCTCGCAGGGAACACAATAGAGAGTCCCAGACAGAGCACGAGAAAAGTGGGGTACAGAACTCAAATTCTAGTAAAAAGACCAGACTTAATGGTTTGATTGATACTGGAGAGACCCTGGAAGACAGGGTCCCCGGACTCTGTTAGCCCAAAACGAAAACCATTCCCAAGGCCAACTCTTCAGACAAAGATTAGACTGGACTATGGGACACAAAATGATACTGGTGAAGAGTGTGCTTCTTAGCTCAAATACATACATGAGACTAAATGGGCAGCTCCTGTCCAGAGGCGAGATGAGAAGGCAGAGAGGACCAGGAGCTGGCTGAATGGACATGGGAAATCAGGGGTGGAAAGGAAGAGTGTGCTGTCACAGTATAGGGAGAGCAACTAGGGTTACATAACAATGTAGGTATAAATTTTTATATGAGAGACTAACTTGAATTGTAAACTTTCACTTAAAGCACAACAATAAAAAAAGGGGGGTATACATAACATTCCCTGCATTTTTCTTCTTCCTCTGTGGTAAAGCACTACAAAGGCTAAGTGGAAATTAACCTGGGGTGTCCCCTGGCTGTCACACATATCATACACTATATTGGTCAAAACAGAAGAAAAAATTGTACTAATGTAGGAAAAAAGTAACAATTTCTCATAGATCTTATTTTTAAGAACAGCTTAAAACAATATTTCTATTTTCCTAAGACAAATGCTCAGCATTTCATTCAATGGGCATTTATCAAGTACCTAAATCTAATATGCTCCAGATTAACATCTGTATTGTTTAAACTTCCACTTTAAAAAAAAAAAAAAGTCAAACCCTTAGATTCATAAGAGTCTAAAAAGCAATAATGTATACTATATATTCTGAAAAATACTCCCACTACAAAATCATTAAACATAGCTTAAAAAAAAAAAAACCAGAACAGAAAACATTCCTGGGCTCAAAGAAAAAGAAAACTCCCAGGACAAGAGCAGAAGGGAAGGGAAGTAACAACGAACAGTCATGCAAACAGGGAGGTAAGCCAAGTCTTTACTCAAACACCATTTTCTCAGTAAAGTTTCCCCTTGCTACCATACTAAAAACTTCAACCTCTATGCTGTTTCCCTGCTTTATTTTTCTTCATAACACTTACTGATATCTGACATACTGTGTTGTTTTTGTTGTTGTGTGCTGTTGAGTTGATTCCCACTGATGGCGACCCTACAGGACAGAGTAGAGCTGCCCCTGAGGGTTTCCCAAGCTGTAATCATTATGGAGCAAATCAGCAGGTCCTTTCTCTGGTGGAGTGGCTGGTGGTTTTAAACCACCAACCTTTTAGTTACCGGCTGAGTGCTTAACTGTTGAGCCACCAGAGCTCCTTCTGACATACTATGTATCTGAATTATTTGTTTGTCTGTCTCACTCCCCTAAAATTAATTTCTATTGGGGTCAAGGATTTTCTCTGTTCACAGCTATCTACCCAGAATCTAAAACAAAGCATGGCTTATAATGGCACTCGATAGATTGTTAAATGATGAATGACTGCTTGGTACAAGAGAAGTTGAAGTAAAAGGATACAGAAAGATTAGAGGTAAAAGCTGGGGTAGATTGTATTAATATTAGAAAGAACAGACTTTAAGACAAAAAAATTGTTTTAGGGACTAAGAGCATAACTATAATGACAAAAGGTTCGACTTACCAAAAAGAATGAATAATTACAATTTGTAGTGGCCTAACAAAATAACCTGCAAATATATAAAGCTCAAATTGACAGAACTACAAGAAAAACTGAAAATCTATCACCATAGTAGCAAATTTCAACATCTCTCTCTTAGTAAACGATAGGTCAATTAGACAAAAAATTGGTAATGATATAAAAGATTTAAACCACATAATTATCAAGATTGTTTGAATGGACACATTAAAACTCTGCATCAACAATTATAGATATACATTCTTCTGAAGCACACGTGGATTATACACATATTTAATTAACCAGGTACTAGGCCATAAAATAAGTTTTCAATACATTTCAGAGATTCAGTACCATTCAGTAGCATGATGGCTATGCTTGCTGATGAAAATGCCAATTAAATTAGAAATCAGTAACAGTAACATTAATTTTAAACTCCCAAACTTTTGCAAGCTTTTTTTGAAACTCAAAATCATATTTCTAAATAATTCAAGCTTCAAAGATGATATTGTAATAAAAATTTACAAACAACTGAACAAATTGAACAATAATGAAAAAAAGTCAAAAAATTCATGAGATGCAGCTAAAGTGGTAAAATTTACAGCCTTAAATATTTATGATAGAAAAAAAAAGGCTGAAAATTAATGAGCTAAACAATCAACTTAAGAAGTCTGAGAAAAAATGAATATGTCTAAAGAAAGTAGAAGGAAGAGGGTGAAGATAAAAACAGAAATTATATAATAGAAAAGATATAAAGGCATAAATAAAAATGAAAGTTGGTTCTTTGAAGATACCTACAAAATACACAAATCTCTCAGAAAAGATGTATAAAAGGGCACCAGGGAACTTTCTGGATGGTAGAAATATTGTTTTGCATTGGAAAGTTACACAGGTGTATACAACTGTCAGAACTCAACAAACTAAATACTTAGGATCTGTTAATGTTAAAAACAAAAGAAGGAATTAATAATAATAGAAATGAAAAATGAGATACAGTTCTTTAAATTGCAGAGATTAAAAGAGAAGAGAGGATATTTCTGAGTCATTTGGAAACCTGAATGCTGATGGGATCTTTTATAGATCTATACTGAAAATTTTATAGGTAAAATATATGTCTGGACTTTGCTTCAAAATAATATTAAAGGCGAAAGTGATCAGGGTATGAATGAGGCATGACTGGCAATGGGTTAATGGTTATTGGTTAAGTGTCGGGGGTTCATTATAATATCCTCTTCAAACACGTACATTCGAAATTCTCCAAAATAAAAAGATTGCTAAAAAAGGATGTAGTATAAGATGATTAAGAAATAAAAATCTAGTGTGCCCTCCCACCAAAATTAAAAGCTCTATGCCAACAAAATTTTAGGGAAAAAAATGGAAACACTGCTAGAAAAACTATAAAAATTTCCAAAGAAAAAACAGAAACCTTCCTCAAAGAAAATTCTAGACAGTTTTACAGGCAAGTAAGGTACAAATAATTCTAACTTTACACAAACTATTCAAGAGTATAGAAAAAGAAGTGCTCTTCCCAACTCTAAATTCTTTTATGAAGCCAGCATGCCATTAATACTGTAACTAGACAAGAAAAATTACAGGCCACCCTCACTCATTGACATTGATACAATCTAATGGTGACACAATAAAAACATTCTTTTTTAGTATCAGGCAAAAGACAAGGACGCTTGCCAACACCAGTTCTATTATACTATACTGGAGGTCTTGGTTAGCACAACAGTAATTTTTTAAAAAAGACATAAGAATTATACAGCAAAAAAATTATTCCTAGATGGTACGATTGCCTATGTAGAAAACTAAAAGGAACCTAGAGATAAATAATCGTAATTAATAAGAGAGTTGAGCAAAGTTGCTGGACATGAAATCAATATGGAAAAGTCTACTGCATTTCTATATACCAGCAAAGAAAAAATATTTTAGGAATGTATCTAACTAAATATGTACAAGATTTCTATGAAAGAAATCAAAAACTCTGAGGCTTTTTAAAAGATCTAAATAAATGAAAGGATATATCATATTGATAAATTGAGACTCAATAGCATAAATAGTACATAAACAGATTTATAATACATCTGTAGTAATAAAATTTCATAGAAGGAGGGAGATGATTAGAAAAAAAAATGTCTAAAAAGCCTCCTTAGAGGCGTGACAGTGAAAAAGAGGTTGAGAAAGCAGTATCTAGGTGAATTTCAAAAACATAAGGTTGAATGAAAAACAAGTTACAGAAGAATACACAGAGTATAATACCACTTGTACAAGTTGAAAAATATACAAAATAACATATTGTTTAGGGATATGCACACAGGTAGTTAAACTATAATAAAACACAAAATTCAGAATAAGGTGGGTAAAAGCACGTTGAAATCTAGGAGGGGCATATAAAGAGATTCAAAAGTGCTGGCTGTGTTCTTTTCTTGGACTGGGACAGTAGATTCATAGGTATTTGTTTTATTATTCCTCATCCTTTATTTATATATTCTTGTATGTATAAATTTTTTATAATTAAAAACTATTTTAAAATATCACATATCAATTTACTATAAGTAAAATCTTAGTAATTTCACTTTAACTGTATGAATAGCCTTTCCACTGATTGTTACTCAATATTGATACTAAACCTACACTGTTAACAACAACAAAGGGTCTTGATTTCTTTTTTTTTTTTAAGAAAAGGTTTTTTAAAAATGCATTATAGCTCATACCCAGCCACCTTGCTGAATGATGTACTCTGCTGCATGGTCCTCCAGATACGTCACACCAAACTGAAGAAGTGCACTCAAGGATTCTTGACCACGTCTTGTCAACTCCAAAAGCATTTGTCGTAGCAAAACCAGAGGCACCAAAATCTTCAACGCAAAGATGAGAGAATCAGAAAACAAACTGAAATTCTTATCATTTGTTTTATATATTCAACTACTGAAAATTATAGTCAGCTGCATCATTATGGAATTTTATTTTATTATAATAAAGAAAAAATAAAACACTAACCACTAATAGGATTTTTCTGAATACTGTATATAGGTTTATACAATGGGGTAGTGGAAAATAATAATTACTATATGAAAATAAGTGGGTTCCTACTATATAACAAGTGCTCTGAATTTCACTAAAACACTTAATTTCATAACAATCCTAGGAAACAGGTATCATTATTCCCACCTCTACAGATGAGGAATTGAGGGTCCATGAAGTCAAGCAAACTTTGAGTCCTGTTTTGCAATACAGGATTCAAAGTTAGATGTAACTTCAAAACCCATGATCTTTATGTAAATACTATAGCAGACCACAGAATCTATTCTTAGGTGACTTAAAAAGTAAAACAGTAATTACATGTTTAAATAACAATTCAACCAATCAAACTGTAGTTTTACTTTTAAATATAAATAAAGGTATATATACAAGCACACATATACGTAACTAAGTAAAATCCCTGCTGGATTACGTGGATGGTGAAAGTCTGAATCATTAATTTGTATTTTCCATAGTTAACAAGTGCTACTTTAACAGTAAGAAAATAAACACTCAATTCTTAACATATAGAAGCTAATCATATTTTTAAAGGTCACCATGTAACATGTATACTCTTTGTCATGTGATCATATTTTAGTTAAGAAAACAAACATTGAAAGCGAGTATGAGAGAAATATCAAAACATTAATAGTGGGGTTGTAGGAGTGCTGGAAGTGGCCCACACTGGTAGCTGCTTATCCAACAGCCATTCCCTACATCTCCATCCTCCTCGATAGAGTCTTGATTTTATTCAGGGGAACAGTGTACCTAGCCCCAAACAAGAAATGATGGCTGATTAAAGTCATTTATGACAATGCTATTTCCTGCTGCAAAATATTTGCTTTCTCAGCTTGCTGTGCAGCTGGGGTTGACCATGTAATCCATTTTTGACAAGTCTGTTAAGAGGGCTTCCAGGAAAGCTTTTGTATTCTTATAAGACATGAGCTTGAGAGGAGAGCACACTGGTGCTCCCCCACTTCCCCTTTATACTGTCAAAGGTAGATATGATAACTAAAGCTGTAACAGTCATCTTGTAGCAATTAAGAAACAAGCATGATGACAAAAACTGATGGCAGAGCAGAAAGAGAGAACAAAGAGGAAACTCTGAGGACACTGCTGAACTGTTGAGGCAACTAAGAATACTGTTAGCTAGGATTTCTCTTACTTGCAGCCAAATATAATACAATTCTGGATTATTTTCTATTCTTGCACATCTGAATTTTCTCAAATAAATACTTCTCATATATTTGTATAATTAAAAATATGTTTTTTTCCAAGGTATTGGCTTTTCTTTAATTTTGTCTGTATAACAGATAATTTATTCATCACCTGTTACAAAGTACTGGTGTTCCTAGACTGCATTTTTTTGTTCTTTAAAAAATATATATATTTAAGATTATGAAATCACTCTGATCATTCAGAAAACAATTTTCAGGTTATTAACCACAGCACCTGAACGAGAAATTTTATATAAACAAAACTTTTCAGACTATGCAACTATTTAAGCTGTATCACTAAGCAGATTATTTGCCAGTTTGGCATTTTAGGCTACTGGAATAATGGATTATGACTATGTTTTCAGATTGCCATATAATTAACTTGACTTTCAGATGACCCAAAACTAGAAATCATCTAGGTAGAGAACTCCTTTTTGGTTTTTTATAGCTTTACACCATAAAATTTACCCACTTAAAAGTATACAGTTCAGGCATTTTTAGTACATTCACAGAGTTGTGCCACGATCATCACAGCGTAATTTAAGAAAATTTTCAACACTCCAACAAGAAACCTCATCCCCAGCAGCAGTACTCCCTATTCTCTTTCTTTCCCCAGTCTCTGAAAACCTCTAATCTACTTTGTCTCTATAGATTGAACTATTCTGTACATTTCACATAAATGAAACGAAACAACACATTCAATTTCTCCACATCCTTGCCAACACTTCTAATTGTCTATCTTTTTGCCACCTTAGTGGGTATGAAATGGTATTTGACAGGGGTTTTGATTTGCATTTCCCGGAAGGCTAGCAATGTAGAGCATCAGCCATTTGTATATCTTTGTTGGAGAAATGTCTATTCAAATTCTTTGCCTATTTTTAATTAGGCTATTTGTCTTTTTATTGTTGAATTATAAAAGTTACTTATAGATTCTGGACACAAGTCCTTTGTCAGATATGTGATTTGCAAATATTTTCTCATTCTGTGAGTTCTCTTCACTTTCTGATGGTGTTCACTGAAGTGCAAAAATTCTAAATTTTGATGAAGTCAATGGTATTTTTTTCAATTGTCACTTGTGCTTTTGATGTCACATCGAAGAACCCATAACCTAACCCAAGGTCATGAAGATTTATTCCTATGTTTTCTTCTAAGAATTTTATAGTTTTTAAAAGTCACTATGTATAGTAAAAATTGTTTCTGATCTTATTAAATTTGGTAACTTTTCCTTATATGCTGTTCAAAAATAATACATTTAACAACTTAAAACATAAAAGCTTTAAATTAATACTACAGTTCATATTTTTAAAAGAGAAAATACCAACTACTTGATATTAAAATATTTAAAAATGGGATTTTAAGAATCATAAAAAAAAGCCCACTTAATTTAACCATGTACTTCTAAATCTCTACTTTCCATCTACCAAAGGAACAAAGAATGAAATAAAGGAGTAATATGGAGAAGTTTGGTGTTCTCTAGATTCTCCTAATTATATAACATTTACCTTAAAGTTTTTTTTAACCTTAAAAAAATCCCGGAAGATCCTTATAGAAGGATGAATATTAAACAGCTCCTATAAATCAGTAAAAGTGAATACGTCAACAGAAAATGATCAAAGAATAAAAACAGATAATTCACAGAAAAGGAAACACAAATGCTCCTAAGCATAGAAACACCCCTACCCTCATTTAAAATAAGAGAAATGCAAACAAAAATGAAACGAAGATACCATTTTTCACCCATAAGGTAACTCAGTGTGTTGGCAGGGATGTGAGGAAATAGGCACTCGTATACACTACCAGTGAAGTATAAATTGGTATGAACCTCCACTGAGAAAACTTTGGCAAAACCTGTACAGCTTTAAAACTTCTCATATCCTTTGACTTAGCATTTCACTTCTGGAATTTATCAAATATAAATATACAGATAGCGAGAAGGGGAGAGAAATGTATGATACAATGTATACATAAGAAAATTCATTGACGCACTTTTTATAATAGCAAAAGACTAGAAACAGTTCAATAGGGGCTGGTTAAATAAATCTTGGTCATCCATAAAATATTACGTAGTTGTTTAAAGTAACTGTTTACTGGCCCAATCTCCAAGATTTACTTTAGTGAATTACTAAGCAAAAAAGTAAGACAGAGAAGAGTGTGTACAACATGCGGCCATTTATAAACAAAATATATATACACACATACATGTTTGTATAATCTTACAGTATATCTGGAAAAATATACAAGAAACTGGTAATAGTAGTTGCCTATCAGGAAGGGGAACTAGGTAACTGGTGGCAAGGATAAGAAATAAATTTCCTTTTCATTGTATATATTTCTTTACTTTTTAGATCTTGTCATGTGCTTTTATCTATTTGAAAATAAGAATTTTTTTTAAATTATAAACTATCATATAAAAGTTATCAAAAACCTATAATAAGAGAGGAAGTATTATCCGTACCTAAAAACCCTATGCCCAATATTGAAAACTCAAACCCGCTGCTGTCAAGTCAATTTCAACTCACAGCGACCCCATAGGAGAAAGCAGTACTGTCCCACAGGGTTTCCAAGGAGCGGCTGGTGGATTCCACCTGCCAACCTTTTAGTTAGCAGCTGAACGCTTAACCACTGTGCCACCGGGGCTCCCAATATTGAAAAGTAATCAAAATTTATGATGAAAACTAACTTGAGTCCCCCTGCCTTCTGTCATGGTTTGAATTATGTCCCCCCCAAAATGTGTGTTATCAATTTGGCTAGGCCATGATTCCTGGTACTGTGTGATTTTCCTGTATGTTGTAAACCTGCCTCTACGATGTTAATGAGGGAGGATGGGTAGCAGCTGTGTTAGTAAGGCAGGACCTGATCTACAAGACTGGATTGTTTCCTGAGGCAATCTCTTGAGATATAAAAGACAGAAGTGAGCAGCGAGACAGGGGGACCTCATACCATCGAGAAAGCAGTGCCGGGGGCAGAGCGCGTCCTTTGGACCGGGGTCCCTGTGCCGAGAAGCTCCTAGTCTGGGGGAACACTGATGAGAAGGCCGAGAGAGAGAAAGCCTTCCCCTGGAGCTGACACCTTGAATTTGGACTTTTAGCCTACTTTGATTATGAGGAAATAAACTTCTCTTTGTTAAAGCCATCCACTTGTGGTATTTCTGTTATAGCAGCAGTAGATGACTAAGACACCTTCCTAAAAAAAAAAATTACATACCGAAAAGAACTAAATATTTTCAGTTACCCATCTGCATGTATTCTCTTTTATCTAAAACAAGAAAAGGTCTCCACATGACTGGAAAAGGAATGCAAAAGGAAATTGAACCAGTTTCAGTTCCTTGTTACTGGATTGCCAAGGTAATAACTGAGGAATGACAAATATTTCTGCAGAAGAGGACAAACAGAAAAACATTGAATTTATATTTCATATTAATAATCTCTGGTTAAGTGAAAGCAGTCCAGAGGAAGTCTATACTAAAGTCTGAAAGAAAAGAATGCAACAAACATGCCATTTTTGTATATTCTAAAAGAACTTTAGCCCAAAAAAAATTGAAAATCCCTTCTTAACAATAATGGAGGGGTAATGGGCTATAAAGAATACTATATTAGGTTTTTTCCACAATAAGAAAACCTGTCATACTGTTAAAATAAAAACAACCAAAAACTGTTATCCATCTAGCCCAATATTTTGCCTCTGGCAGGAGCACTAAGGAATGGCTTATGAATCTGCTTCACTATCCTTCATACCAACTTCAAAGTCCTAGATGCTCTGTACTTCACAACATCCTAATGCACTAGCAGGTAACATTTTAAAGTTATTTACGTTTAAGCTCTACTACCTCTCGAGGAAATGAGCAGCAAACATTTTACACTAGCTATATAAAATAGTACTTTGTTCCAAATTTACCTCTTTAATGTATCAAAAAGTAGATACTCTAGTTTTAATACACAATAATCTAGTGATAAATCTGCCATCCTCTTTCACTTTAGTCATTAATCCTATTTCCTCTCAATGACTGTATTTTCAGGTTAGAATCTACTAACCTTTTATTCTGTCCTCATATGGCAACTCCTCTATTGCTTTGATCGTTTAAGTTAATCTTTTCCTGGATCTTCTCTATCCCAGCTCTATCTTTCTTAAGATGCAGTAACTATTTCTTCATTTTATAGGAGGACTAATATTTCTGTTTGATTGAGAATACTCTCCTTGCTGATACATGTTATGGCAGATTATTTCTGTTTTACCTTCTACTCCTCATATAATTATTGAATGACTTGTATTGTGTATCAGGCTGATTGATCTATTTTACTTGTTTAATATAGTATCTTCAGAGACCTGAATGACGACTTCCAGGTCCACAGTCTTTTAAGTACAGCGTAGACAATTTTCTTTAAACAGTTAAATCCACTTGCCCTCTAATTTCTGTGCCACATACAAAGCTTCATGAGTTAGTTCTACACCTGATCTCCATTAACATGGTATTTTACTACACACAAGAATTTGACATCATCTGTACAACTGGTATTTTGAACTCCCCTCTTTCATATCATTTTAAGAAAAAATCGTTAAAACAAAACTAGATCCTCAAGCATCCATTCCTAGGAGGTTTCACTATTCATATTTCTAAGTCTAAAAAGCAACCAAATAGCCTTATGTTTTGAATTCCTTTCTCTAAGTCATTTTCCTACTAGGTATTAGTAAACCCCACAAAGCACGTAAGTTTTTTTTTTTTCTTCAATAGCTTTTGCAATGGAATGCTAAGGTACTTTTGACCATCAAAAAAGATTACCTCCACTGGCTCACCTTTACCCACATACTTTATCTAATCCCCTGACAGCTCATACGCACCTTGTGGTCTCTTCCTCCAACAGGTTAATTTTAGTCAAATTTAATAATTTTATCCTTTTGTTAATGACTATATGAGTTCAGCTGGTGTAGAAATAAAGCATGCCAATTTTTAGCTCTGAGGGTCCCTTCCAGTAAAATGGATATTTATAACGATAAATTACATATTTTGGCCCGTTTAGGTTTGAATAATGTCCTTGATCTGTCTGCTTCAAAATACGATTTAAAAAACAGTAAGACATTATGTACCATCCAGTGTTAAAAAGCAAAAATTTCACTTTGAGGACTAAGGTGAGCCTGGCGCCTGACCCAAGCCATGGTATTTCCAATCACCTCATATGCATGCAAAAATTGAACAATGAATAGGAAAGACCAATGAAAAATTGACGCCTTTGAATTATCGTGTTGGTGAAGAATACTGAATATACCATGGGCTGCCAGAAGAACAAACAAATCTGTCTTGGAAGAAGCACAGCCAGAATGCTCCTTAGAAGCAAGAATGGCGGGACTTCATTTCATGTACTTTGGACATGTTATCAGGAGGGACCAGTCCCTGGAGAAGGATATCATGCTCGGCAAAGTAGAGGGTCAGTGAAAAAGAGGAAGATCCCCAATGAGATGGATTGACAGGGTGGCTGCAACAATAGGCTCAAACATAGCAACTGTGAGGATGGCTCAGGACTGGGTAGTGTTTCATTCTGTACATAGAGTCGCTATGAGTTGAAAGCAACTCAACAGCCCCTAACAATAAGTGTGATGCACTAGGAAATACAGAACATCACCAATGAAGTATTCTTGCTGAAAAGATTAAACCTGAATCTGATCAAGCCTCTATATATATCTACCAATGGAAAAGTAATACAGGTACAGAGGAAAATGTTAAGTGACACTTCAGGAATGTAGTCAATAAAATCCAGAAGGTAGGAAATTCTCCAGGAAACTTATAATTACAGGGGGAAAAAGTGGAGTAAGGGGATTGATAAGACTACGTATAAAAGAGACTTCAGCCAAGATATAAAAGAGACTTAAGCCACATATCGTATGATTCCATTTATATGAAATGTCCAGAAAACTAATATTTAGAGAGTTTAATTAAGCTGCCCAAAATTACACATCTAGTCTGTGGTAAAGATGAGATTCAAAACAAGTCTGATTCCAAAGCCTATACTACTAATTATTACACTAAATGCCTCCAAAGTCTGTATTAAGGTGAGGAAAATAATATACATCAGATACATACAGTTACATGGGTTGACCTGTATTATAAACAATCCTGAGTAGAAGCGGCTATTTGTAAAATAATTTTACTGAATTGCTCATCCCTAGCACCATATTGGAGCCCTGGTGGCGCAGTGGTTAAGAGCTCAGCTGCTAACCAAAAGATCGGCAGTTTGAATTCACCAGCTGTTCCTTGGAAACCCTATGGAGTAGTTCCACTGTGTCCTATAGGGTCGCTATAAGTATAGGGTCTCTATGAGTCGGAATCGACTCGCCGGCAGTGGGTTTTGGTTTTTTGTTTTTTTTTTTTAGCACCATATGATTAAGGGCCACACTTTCTTCTCATATTGAGCTCAACAACCACAAAAAAACCCCACACCCACTGCTGTCGAGTCGATTCCGACTCATAGTGAACCTATAGGACAGAGGAGAACTGCCCTACAGGGATTCCAAGGCTGTAAATCTTTACGGAAGCAGACTGTCACACGTTTCTCCTGAGGAGTGGCTGTTAGGTTCAAACCGCCAACCTGTTAGCAGCTGAGTGCTTAACTACTGTGCCACCAGGGCTCCTACATGTTGCATTTAGTTACCCTATATTGCATCCTCTTAGGCTTTCTGCCTTTTCAAGGTGATAAGCAGATAATACAGCCTGAGAAGATGGATGAGCAATATGGTTTAGTGGAAAAAAATACTAAAACTGTAATCAGATCTTAACTCTAGCGCTGGTTGCAATACTTCCTAGTCAAGGAGTCCTAGGCAAGTCATTTGATTTTTCTGATACTCTAATTATTCACCTGAACTAAGTATGTAAATAAATAAATAAAAGCTAATAAAATTCATTCTGCCCCCTGCAATGAATGTCTGTGGTGATACAATGAGACATTTTGTAAACTATAAAACACAAATGGCATTACACATTTAAGAGAATCAGAAGAGGCTGTTTCCCAACTGAAGTCCTTATTCATTTCCCCCGACATATGCACATGTTAACAAATAACCATCTGCAGATAAATGTCATGTCTAATACAGACAAATGAAGAAATGATGGGAAATTCAGGACAGACAGGAAGAAAGGATGACATACTATGGGAGATGGATTTTGGGGCCAGCAGAACCTTTCAGGATTAATGAAACGATCCATTTAACATAGTTGACTTTATTTATACCCTAAATAATGAGCTCTACTGGTTTTCTGTTGTATGATGTGATCATTTCCTCCTGTACTTTATCATTTACACACTAAAATCTTGTTAAGAAAAAAGATAATTTGGTTAATACCTTATTCCAGCCGCTGGCATGAACTGCGGTCTCCAGTGTACATTCCCGATATGCCTGATATGTCACTGGCCTGTAGAGATTTTTTTAAAAGTCTGTGTCACAAAGAAGGAAAATTCTATATCTCCAGAGGAATAAATATACAGTTATTACTATGTTGATGAACTTTTTGCTAAAGTGACAAAATATGTTATTTTGGATAAGATGTGGCTTTTAGCACTTAGTATGCATTTTTCTTCAAGTATTTCCTGTAGGCTGAGATACATGCTACCAGTTTGGGAGAGCAGTTAGCAATATAACAAGATAAATATTTATTCTAATAAACATTTGTGTAATTGCTTGAAATTTCTTTGGTAGGAGTTCTATGTTACAGATAAATGAATGGGTTACTAATATAGAATCAAATAATAATAAAAATGATCTCGTTTATATATATATACAGCACAATTTGAACTTTTTTAAAAGGGAAATCATCTAAAATATTTAAAAATTAAAGAGATATGTCACCTGGAAGATTTTTCACACTGAGGATACATGGAGCTGGAATAAATAAGAGTAACAGAGCTCCATTTTTAACTTGGAATCTTATGATATAAAATCCTAAAAGGCAGAAAGATAATCCTTTCTGATTATTCCCATATAAATCCTATTTATACCAAAAACTCAAATAACTGATGTAGCAAAACTCACTCACCAACTTGTTGAGTGACTTTTAAGTACTATATTCTAAGCCTTGTTTCATGTGCAAATTAAGAAAAAAAAACAATACTCCATACTAAGTAACATAAGATGGCATCAATAGTTTGGATAGCAGATTTAATAAAATTTACCTCCTCCTCTCCTTTTTCGGCAAGGTATTAATACATGTGCAAAAAGGAAGGGGAGGAGTCTTGCTTATATGGGATTTAAAAATCTCATTCCAAAGGCATTTTCTGCTCTGAGCACTCAGAAAAGATAAAACCATTGAAAGACCACACAGCTGACAAGGAGCTGAGTAGGAATTCACACCCAATTTGATCTGGCTCCAAAAGCTACACTGCTCCCATTTCAAGTTAGGATTTTAACACACGTCATGACAATGTCTAGATACCGCGAGTGGCTAATGAACTTTTGAAATGTGGCTACTGATGTGCTGCAAGTGTGATGTACACAGTAGATTTCAAAGACTTAGTGAGAAAAAGAGAATGCAAAATATCTCATCAATAATTATTTATAGTGATCACATGTTGAAATCATAGTTGTTTGGCTATATTGGGTTAAATAAAATATATTATTAAAATTAGAAAAAATTACTCTATGTTTACTTTTTATTTTTACCTGTTTTTAATGTGACTGTTAGAAAAATTACAATTACATATGTTGCTTATATTTCTATTGGACAGATAGAGCTGATCTAGAGACGTCAGAAAACAATTCTGGTGACATGCATATCATTCTTTTACACAAGTCAATACGCAATCAACACTACTGTGATGCTAAAAGGAGACGAGTTACCAGGGATAATTTTTTTTAACGATAAGGTGTTATGTACAATCTTCCTGATACCACTTTTCCATTAAAGTAATCTTAGTATTTTTTAGAACACTTGGGCTAAATGCTAGATTCTGGTAAAACCTGAAGTTCAGCAGACACAGGGATGGATTACCCAGTAAGCAAGGTAAGCACGTGCTTAGGGCATCAACAAAATGGGGGCACCAGGTGTCCAAAGCAAAGACTCATAGATGCCAAGCACACAGGACACATGGAAAAGCAAGCGCCATAGTGGAAGGGAACTGGCAGGGCACTAAATGAAACTGATACCAGCTCCAGTGCGTAAGATGTGCCAGTTGGAAATAAATTTCACGCAGGGTCACAAGTGTGCCCACACGCAAGGCTGTTTAAGCTATGAGGCCCCTACCAGTTCAACGCTTTTGTTGACATCTGTCTTTTACAGTCCCCTCCCATGTAACTGAAACCCTGTATTTCAGTGGGTCTCTTGGGAGTATACTATTTCTTTCTAATAAACAAGAGATAAGGGTGGGCTTTCAAGTCTAACTCTTGCTACATTCACCCACTAAAAATTTTATAATCCAGTTCATCTATACCACTAAAATGGCATACGCCACTTTTGCATTCAATTAATATTACAGTCGCATCTAAAAAGCAGTTACATCATGCATAGCCAAGACACACACACACACACACACACACACACACACACACACACACACACATATAACTCACATATTCCGTTTGAATGCGTAAGCACAGGAGGGGGCACCACAGATTATCAGTGCTTAGGACCCTCACATGCCTTAATTCGGCCCTGACTATACACTCTACCTACCTATAAGTCTCCCTGAAGCTTTACTTGTGTATATCAGTCCCTTCACTTCCTTTCCTGAACTGTTTCATGCTGCTGTGGGTCACAGTAGTCCTTACTGGTAGCCTGTCTATCAGGTTAAAGTACTTTAGCATCCTTCAGAATGAAATACAACTTGAAACATTATATGTACACACATATATGCGCATAAGTAATCCAGTATATTAAACATTCAAAGGAAATCTAATGCATAGAAAAGTAAGTAGTTGAATGACTAGCCTTACCTAATGAGATATTAGAATAAAGAAGAAAAAGGGGGTAGGGGCAGCATTTTGAAACAGTTGGTGCTCTTCTGTACAAGGAATTCAGGATTAATTTCTCACTTTTAATAAAACAGTTGGAGGAGTAGGTGATATACACTACTTTAAAAGCTATATTACCTTCAACCTGTATAGTACTTACAGTTTATTAGCAATTAGTTATTTTTAAGGCATTAATAATAAAGCTTAACAACTTTCAAAACTAGAAAAAAATTTACTCAAATTTACTGACTGGGATATGCAACCAGACATACCAATTTCAAAAATAATTACACTGATGTTCAGAGTTTAGACAAAAAACAAAATATTCAGACAAGATAATTTCCTTTTACATATAATTTACTTTGCAGTGAGAAGATAGCAATTTTTCCTGCAGATTATGAAAAGGACTGCAGAAACAATAAATTGGGTTGTTTAGTTTTTTAACTATATAACACTGTTCTTTGGACAGCTTACAATAGATCAGTAAACTTAAAATTAGCAGATGGAGAAATTTAGATATAAGGTAAAACGATTTGTTCAAAGCCACAAAGTCAGTATCAAATTTGGAAACAATTTTTTGCCTTACACCTCTCACTTAGTTATTTTACTCCCAGGCTCAACAGTTTTTACAAGGGTTTTTTTTTTTTTTTTTTTTTTCTCTCTTTTTTTATATAAAGCAGCAGATATCTTTTTTCAAATCTTACATGAAACCTCATTATATAAAATAGATGAATGTATACCTGTTCTGGTTGAAGAAAAATGAAAAGGACATAATAAACCCCACCACTCAACAGATCCCTCACCTCTTCAAGGATCCCTAAAGTACCTCAGTAGAATCCTAAGACTCACAAAACACTTTCTGAAAACCACTGCTATAACCCCGAATTTCCTAAGTTTTATTTTCTGACACCTGTATTCTTCTCTCCACATTTATTTTTAAACTTTTCTAAGATTAAGAAAGTCCAAATGTGGTCTTCATTCCACTCTTTCCTAAGTGTTAAGTACAATTTTTACATTTGCTCAGTTCACCATAATATGAATAAACAAATAGAATTTTCTTAAAACCCAAACTGCTTCTTTCTAACATGGTAAACTATAAACTTTACCTAGTTGATAGCAAGGAACTACCTTACAATAGTCCTTTGGCATCTGAATTTTGGCCCTTTCAGGGAAGGAGCAGTATTCATCCTGTTCTAGAAAGTTGTCAACATTTATTAAGACAAAATTTTTTTTCCTAATTCATACCAATTCCTTAAAGATTCTCAGCAAAGAATTAGGGGAAATAAATTTTTGATATTTACAAAAAATTACTTGGTTCTATTTTAATATATTTTCACTATTACCTGCTTCTTGCCTTTAGCATTAACTGTCAAAACCACAGCTAGGAGCTAAGTTCCCACTATAAGTATCTGGAAGTAGTTATATGGGCAGATGTGCAACCTCAAAATTTAGCAACATCTGGGAAACCTAAAATACAGATTATAATGTTAATTCCACATTACAATGTAATATATAAAGCCCTAGCCATTATATTTACGTGGGCCAGGGAATGGTAATAAAAAGTGGTTAGGATAAATGAAATAGCTTGTATTTACAACCTCAGTAAAAGCATTCGTTGAAATCTCATAGCACAAGTAAATAAAAATTATCAACTCCATGCTGAACAACTACATCACTGCTTAGATGCAAAGTTGTCACTGAAAACCACAAACAGATGCTCTGGGAAAACAAAAGAAAAGTAAAGAAAAATAAGTCAGAAAAGAAGTGACAACATTCACCTAAAACAAAGCCTTAACCAATCCAGTGCAGAGACTACTTAGAGAAGCACAATCCCACTCAGCAATGGTAACTCACTGGCTGAGGAGCATTTGCAATGCTTTATGCAGAGGCTCTTTCAGTTCCTGGGACACTTTCTCTCCAAGATGGGCCAAACAGTCTTCTATTGAGCTTTCTGGGTTAGCAGGGCTGAACACGGGAGAAGTGTGACGGTCAAAGCCTGTGCTGGTGAAGGCTAAAGACAGAGAAAAAGAAAAACCTAACTTAATAAACATCAAAAGCTATGTTATAAAAGGCCAGGAGTTAAGACACCTACTATTGGGAACAAGCTAATAGTTACGAGCCACGTAAAAATGCCAGATAATCGTCATGGATATTAATCTTTCTTGGAATATAAAAATACACTAACCAATTTCATATAGGACTACTGACCAATTTAGTATAAGCATGATAAATGGGAGGTAATTTCTGGCTCTATCATCCTTCTCTTAGTAATTTATAAGTTCTTGTTTTTACCTTTATAAATGTGGCACTTTTTAAACCAGATTCTAATCAGTTTATACCACCTTAGAGGAAGAATCAATTACTTTCCCTTTCAAACTCAGTATTCCTGCACGTGGATAAAATTAATAACTGTGAAGGTTATACAACAAGTATAAAAGTTGCACACTCAAGAGAAGTCATATCCTATCTCTCTTCAGGTCAAACTACCAGGCTTATCTGCAGCCTAACTCCATGTTATACAGGCCTGGCCATTTGGAAGAAGAAATATAATAATTGTTCCAAGACGCAAACGAGATGTGAGGCAGAGAATCCTGGTAAAGCAAGAGGTCTGCACCTAATTTCAGGAGTTATCAATCACTTTTTTTTTTTTTTTTTTTAATTGTGCTTTAAGTGAAGCTTTACAGAGCAAAATAGTTCCTGTTTAATAATCTGTACACAGAATGTTCCAAGACACTGGTCGCAGCCCCTCAATGCGTCAGCACTCTCTCCATTTCTCCTGGGTTCCCTGTTAACTTTTGTCCCACTTTCCTACCCCTTCCTGCCTTCTCATCTTTGCTTTTGGGCAGATTTTGCCCTTTTGGTCTCATTATAATTAACAGTTCTAAGGAGCCTGTTCCTCTCGGGTGTTACTGTTTATTATGTAGGCCTGTCTATTGTTTGGTTGAAAGGTGGTCTCCAGGAATGGCTTCAGTTCCAAGTTAGAAGGGTGTCTTAGGACAACAGTCTCAGGGGTTCCTCCAGTCTCTATCGGACCAGTAAGTCTGGTCTTTTTTATAGATTTGACTTTTCTTCTATATTTTCCTCTTATTCTGCCTGGGATCCTCTATTGTGCTCCCAGTCAGAGTGGTCAGTTCAATCACTTTCATAATAATAGGGTGTATTTTATGATATGTGAAATATATAAAAATAAAGCTGTAACATTTGTGTACAAGTTTTTGTGTGGACATGTATTATACTCATGGAAGTGTTACTTATGTAAGGCAAAACAGGAAATAATCCAAATGCTCCCCTCAATGACAGGGAAACAACTGAGTAACTATTCATTCAATCAATGGAAATGATTAAAATGATAACTATTAAAAAAGCTTATGCCATGGCCTCCAGTTCTTGACCTTCGGTAGGAATAATAAAGCATTCTAGGAGTTTGAAAACCCTTAAAAAAAAAAAAACCTTCTGATATAATATCACAACTATCTATACAGAATTCTCACCTTCCATGGGGGAGACCAGGGTTTGATTCCCAGCCAATGTACCTCAAGTGGAGCCACCACCAGTCTATCAGTGGAGGCTTAGAGTGTTGCTGTGATACTGGACAGGTTTCAGTGGAGCTCCCACACTAAGATAGACTTGGAAGGAAGTCCTGGTGGTCTAGTTCTGAAAAATCAGCCAGTGAAAACCCTATGGATCACAACAGTCCAATCCTATTGTGCATGAGGTCAGCAGGAGATAGGGGCTGATCCAATAGCAGCAAACAACAAAACAGCATTTATACATACAAAAACGAAATGTCATGATTGGTACGTAAAGATGCCAAAATCAAACTATACTGAATGGAAGGAACTTTAGCATGATCATTTAGTCCACTACTTAACACTAGAAAGAGCTACATCTAACCTATTGAGCTGAGCTGGGAAACTCTTACAAACACATCCCCCAGGAAAGAAAAAGGCTACCTTCGAGTTTCACCATTATACTCATATACCAAAGAAGTATGTAATATTCAGAACATCCTACTATAAAAACCAAGTTAAAATGACAATAATCAAACCACACCAAAATAGAATCTACTAATTAACTAGGAAAATAAGAATAAACTGACCTTCAGAAATTTCTTTGTCCAAAGATTTCAGCTCTTCTTCAATTTCCGTTTTAACTTTTAATTGAACTTCTTGATCCAGAGATTGTGAAGCTGTATCTAGTTGAGGCCCTAAAACCAACAAAAAAGGTTACTATAGAGAGAAAGAGACAGAAGCCAGTAGAAGATCATATTAGTATTTTAACTACTAAAGCAGAAAATGCAAAATCAAAACTCATTGTCAAGGCTACACCTACTGGGGTTCAGTAGGAGATATTTTTTAAAATAATTTTAAAAAGAAAAGCCTTCGAAGAAGTATGTGGGCCTATTACTGGCAGTGAAGTCTGTTAAGTATAGAAACAGTGGAATAAGCCTCCATCTTTCCAGATGTTTCTGCCAGGAACAGGGAAAGAGAGCAGAACCATCCGAAACCCATTAACTCAACAGAGGTTGGGAAAAGAGTCGTTAATATGCACAAATCCTCTCCTTTTATGCACAATGTAGTCTTAAAAAAAATATGTATGGAACCCTCATCTATTGCTCAAGAGAGTATAAAATGGTATATAGCCTGCTATGGAAGACAGTTTGGCAGTTCCTCAAAAAGTTAAACATAGAACTACCATATGATCCAGCAATTCCACTCCTAGGTATATACCCAAAAGAAGTAAAAGCAGGAAAGTAAACAGATACGTGTATATCAGTGTTCATTGTAGCACTGTTCACAATTGCCAAAAGGTGGAAATAGCCTAAATATCCATCAACAGACGAATGGATAAACAAAATGTGTTACATACACATAAAGAAAACAAGTTTCAGAATCTCTTCTGACATTCATTTTGGGCTTTTCTTTCTTTCCTGTCTTTTTAATGACCTTTTACTTTCTTCATGTATGATGCCATCCCATAACTCGTCTAGTCTGTGGTCATTAGCGCTCAGTGCATCACATCTGTTCTTGAGACGGCCTCTAAATTCAGGTGAGATATATTCAAGGTCATACTCTGGCTCTTGTGGACTTATTTTAGTTGTTTTTCAGCTTCAACTTGAGCTTGCATATGAGCAACTGACAGCCTCTTCCACAATTGGCCCCTGGGCTTGTTCTGACAGATGATACTGAGTTTCTCCATGGTCTCTTTCCACAGATGTAATCAATTTGATACCTGTGTATTCCATCTGGCGAGGTCCACGTGTATAGTCACCATTTATGTTGTTGAAAAAAGGTATTTCCGATGAATAGGTCATTGGTCTTGCAAAATTCTATCATGCGATATCCAGTGTTGCTTCTATCACCAAGGCCATATTTTCCACCTACTGATTCTTCTTCATTTCTACCTTTCACATTCCAATCACCAGTAATTATCAATACATCTTGACTGCATGTTTGATCAATTTCAGACTGCAGAAGTTGATAAAAATCTTCAGTTTCTTCATCTTTGGCATTAGTGGTTGGTGCATAAACTTGAATAATAGTCATATTCACTGGTCTTCTTTGTAGGCGTATGGATATTATCCTATCCCTGACAGCACTGTACTTCAGAATACATCTTGAAATATTGTTTTTGTTGATTAATGTGACGCAATTCCTCTTCAATTTGTAATTCGCTGCATAGTAGAACATATGATTGTCTGATTCAAAATGGTTAATACCAGTCCATTTCAGCTCACTAATGTCTATGATGGAAACCCTGGTGGCATAGTGGTTAAGAGCTATAGCTCCTAACCAAAAGGTAGGCAGTTCAAAACCACCAGGTGCTCCTTGGAAACTCTATGTGGCAGTACCTACTCTGTCCTATAGTCACTATGAGTTGGAACCAACTCGACAGCAATGCTTTGGGTTTACTGCCTAGGATATTGATCTTCAAATGTTTCATTTCAGTTCTGACAACTTCAAATTCTCCTAGATTCATACTTCATACATTCCATGTTCCGACTATTAATGGATGTTTGAAGCTGTTTCTTCTCAATTTAAGTCGTGCCACATCAGCAAATGAAGGTCCCAAAACCTTTAGTCCATCAGCGTCATTAAGGTGAACTCTACTTTGAAGAGGCAGCTCTTTCCCAGTGGTATTTTGAGTGCTTTCCAACCTGAGGAGCTTAGCTACTGGCACTATATCAGATACTGTTGGCTGCTATTCCTAAGGTTTTCACTGGACAATTTTTTTAGAAGTAGATCACCAGGTCCTTCTTCCTAGTCTTAGTCTGATGTCAGAAGAGACTCTGAAACTTGTTCTTGAACACAGAGTACTTAAAATGAATGGAAGAAATGATGACGTAAAACAGCTGAACATAAGACTTCAAAGGGTGGCTTGAGAAGACAAAGTATTATAATGAAATGTGCAAAGACATGGAGTTAGAAAATCAAAAGGGGAGACCATGCTTGGCATTTCTCAGACTGAAAAGAACTGGAGAAAAAATTCAAGCCACAAGTTGCAATACTGAAGGATTCTATGGACAAAATATTGAATGACACAGGAAGTGTCAAAAGACGATAGAAGGAATACATAGTCACTGTACCAAAAAGAATTAGTCAATGTTCAGTCATTTCAGGAGGTAGCATATGATCAAGAATTGATGGTACTGACTTCCGGGCAACATGACGCTCTAGGTAGAAGCACCACGCTGTCCCTCCACAGCAAAGATCCAAAAAACTAAGCCAAACAGAGAAAAGGGCAATCCTGAAGGCCTAAGCATCAAATGAAGAGATAAAGAACTGAGCCAAGCACCAAACGGAACAAGAAACTAACAGAGAACAGGGAGCAAGGAGAGATACATGCAGAGGTCCCCTATCAACTAATGAAGCATGGATCCGCCATCTTGGACTCCTAACAGAGACCAGCTAACAGGGGGTACGAGAAAGCAGCTTCACAGAGCTTCCAACAAGAGACAGAGTAACCGGTAACCAGTGATATATGCCTTCCCACCCCCTGACCCTTCTTCACCCACACTGGGCCTCCTCTACTTTCCGCGGTCAGAGTCTCTTGGCCGGGAAGCACCAGCTGCTTGGATTCCACCCACCCGCACCGGCTGGCTCACTGACTGCCATTTGATGGCTGCTGCTGGTGGTTTCTTCCGCTTCTTTGGATTTCTTTCTTACGTCTCACCACCTCCCCCTCCTTGCTCTCAAATACCTGGCACAGGGCGCCATCTTTGCTTCTTCCTGAAAGGCTGTGAAACTCCGCGTGAATGTGAAACTGCATCCTGGTCCGTACTGCCACGCTGGTGTGATCCTGCGGCTTTTCTTTGTTGGTTTGTTTGTTTTCTTTTTCTCTTCTTGAATTGGGAGCCTGTTCTAGCCAGGCAGTACTGGGCACTTGGGGCCTACCCCCTCAGTTTGCGCAGACGCACAGAGGGATCCCTGAGAGCATTTCTTCTTCGTGGTTTTTTTTTTTCCCCTGTTTTTCAGGGGGTTTTTCCTTCTAGGCAGGCTGTACTTCAACGCCTGGGAGCAACTTCCCCAGACCTCACATCCCCACCAGTGGGATCTCTGGGGGCTTTTCTTTTCCTTTTTCTTTCTAATTTTCATTTATTCATTTTTTTCTTTTTCTTCTCCTTTTTGTTTTTCTCCATTTCATACTCTCATCTCTCCACCCCAACAGCAAGCACCCCTAGCACTCTTTTTTGTTTGTACGTTATCGGCTCCTGTTTCTCTCTCTTCTATCTCCTCTCTCCCACACCCATCTGAGCTCCACACATCACAATCTCCCCATCCATCCTGCCTGCCTGCACCATGCGTTTAACATCACACCACCAAGCAGCACAGGCACGGCATACCGGAACCTGCCAGGCACTGATTACTGGCCTGCCCTGCTGGCCATAGTAAGTGCCACAAACAACCCATCCCAGCAACTCCTCTTCAGCTAGACCCGCCCTGCTGTACCATATCTGAGCGACTGACCCTGCCAATTGGGAGAAGGAGGCGAGAAGTATCGTGTCCACAGACAAGCAAACAACAAAGAACATATAGCTCACCTGCTCAGCCACAGCCAAATAAAAAAAAAAGAAAGGACAAAACAAACAAATCTACAATCAATAAACGAGAAAAATAACTACTGAATGCCCCAAAAAGAGCAGACAATATCAAAAAATATATAAAAACAGGACAGGATGGTTCTGGTAGGCATCCAAAATAAAACACCAGATGACTTTCCAGTAGAAGAAAAGGCACTAGAACTACCTGATAGGAAATTCAAATCTCTAATATTCAGAGCTATCCAAGAGTTGAAGGAAAAGCAGACAAGAATGAGGAAAAATTAGAGAAATTCATGGAAAAGGCAGAAAAATTCATGGAAAATACAGACCAAAAAATGGAAGAATTCAGGAAAATAATGTAGGAACAAAATGTAAAAACAAATTCACAACTAGAAATCATACAAAAACAACAATTAGAAATCCAAAAGATAAACAATAAGATTTCAGAAATGGACAGTGTCATAGAAGGGCTGAAGAGCAGATTTGAAACAATGGAAGACAGAATCAGTGAAATTGAAAACAAACAATGGGATAGAACTCTGAGGAAAACTCACAAAAAAGAATGAAGAAAAATGAAGCGACCCTGAGAATTCTGTGGGATACAACTAAAAGCAAAAATTTTCAAGTGACTGGAGTTCCAGACAGGGAGAGAAAACACGGAGAGGATCATTGAAGAACTGCTGACAGAAAAGTTCCCCGATATCATGAAAGACGAAAAGCTGGCCATCCAAGAAACTCAATGAACCCTATATAGGATAGTCACCATAAGAAAATCACCAAGGCATATCGTAATCACATTCGCCAAAACCAAAGACAGACAAAGAATCCTGAGAGCAGCTCAAGAAAAAAAAGAAGTCACATACAGAGGAGAAACAATAAGACTAAGCTCAGATTATCTGGCAGAAACCATGCAGGAAAGAAGGCAATGGGATGACATATATAAAGCCTTGAAAGAAAAACATTGCCAGCCAAGAATAATATATCCTGCAAAACTCTCATTCAAATATGATGGTGAAATTAGGACACTTCCAGGTAAATAGAAATTAAGGGACTATGTAAAAACCAAACCAAACTTACAAGAATTATTAAAGGGACACCTTTGATCTGAGAACAAAGAACTTCAGCTCACAGGCTGAATCTAGGGCGCAGGATCATACCAACCAGAT